GAAAAAAAAAACCCAAATCTCTGCTTTTTATCTTTTTTTTTTGTTCCAAAATGGTCGTTTCACACTGTCTGACCTTAAAAAAGGAAAACCAGCCATTTTGCCCATTTTGGGGCTATTTTTTGAGCTTTTTCCCTGCTTTCCACAGAGCCCACACACCGAAGTTTCCCCTCCCCCCCCATCCTTCTCCTTTTCCTGAATCCAAAAGTTGGGAAAAACCCAAATCAAAAATGTTTTGTTTTGTTTTTTTGCACTTTCTGACCTTAAAAACAAAACCCTGGGGCCCTTTTGGGGCTTTTTTTTTGGCCTTTTTTCCATCCTTTTTGCCTTTTATTTTGGCCTTTTTTTGCCCTTTTTTTCTAGTTTTGTTTTTTTTTTTCCTTTTTTGGCCTTTTTCTGGCCTTTTTTGGCCTTTTATTGACCTTTTTTCAGGCCTTTTTTTGGCCTTTTTACTGGCCTTTCATTGGCCTTTACCTTGGCCTTTTCTTTTTTCCCCTTTCTTTTGACCTTTTTGGTCTTTTATTGGCCTTTTTTTCTGGCCATGTTGCCTTTTTTTTGGCCTTATTTTAGGCCTTTTCTGGCCTTTTTTCTGGCCTTTTATTAGCCTTATTTTCTGGCCTTTTTTGGCTTTTTTTCCTGGCCTTCTTTTAGCCTTTTCTTGGCTTTTTGGCCTTTTTTTGGCCTTTTATTGGCCTTTTTTCTGGCCTTTTATTTTTGGCCTTGGCATTCTTGGCCTTTTTTTGGCCTTTTTTTCTGACCTTTTCTTGGCTTTTTCAACTTTTTTGGCCTTTTATTGGCCTTTTTTTCTGGCCTTTTTTGGCCTCATTTTCTGGCCTTTTTTGGCCTCATTTTCTGGCCTTTTTTGGCCTTTTATTGGCCATTTTTTCTGGCCTTTTATTGGCCTTTTTTTCTGGCCTTTTTTGGCCTTATTTTCTGCCCTTTTATTGGCCATTTTTTCTGGCCTTTTTTGGCCATTTTTTCTGGCCTTTTTTGGCCTCATTTTCTGGCCTTTTTTGGCCTCATTTTCTGGCCTTTTACTGGCCATTTTTTCTGGCCTTTTTTGGCCTCATTTTCTGGCCTTTTTTGGCCTTTTTTGGCCGTTTTTTCTGGCCTTTTCTCTGCCATTTTTTCTGGCCTTTTTTGGCCTCATTTTCTGGCCTTTTTCAGCCTGTTTTTTTTGCCTTTTCTTGGCTTTTTGGCCCTTTTCTCTTGGCCTCGCCCCCACAGGACGCTCCCCCCTCCCTTTCTCCTCTCTTCATCGCTCTGTTTCTTTATCGCCCTCCTTTCATTCATTCATTCATTTTTCCGTCTATTTTTCCTCCATTTTTTAAATTTTTTTTCCCTTTTCTGCCTTTTTTTGAACCCAAAAGCTGCGGATAAAGGCGGAGCATTGCAAAGTGTCGCTGCCTTTCACACCTGCAGCACACAAAACCAGAGTTTGTTAACAGGCACAAATAAGCAACCGCCGCTCGCCCCATACTCACCTCCGCGCCCCAAAATCGGCCTTTTTCAGCCCAAAACCACGCGGCGGCCACACAAACCCCCAACCTGTGCTGGCAGCACCGCTGGCAGCCCTGGGTGCCCTTGTTTGCACCGCCTGCTGTCTGCAGTGACCACACCATCAAACACTTTCCTCTTTTTGGTTTGGTTTTTTTCCCCTCGTTTTTCCGTCTTTTGCTGCTTTTTCCCTTTTTTTTTTTTTTTTCGTTTTTTTTCCCCTCGTTTTTTTCCCATCTTTACTCCATTTTTCTCTTTTTAATTCCATTTTCCCCTCATTTTTTCCCATCTTTACTCCGTTTTTCTCTTTTTACTTCCATTTTCCCTCATTTTTTCCCATCTTTACTCCATTTTTCTCTTTTTACTTCCATTTTTCCCTCTTTTTTTTCCCCATCTTTACTCCATTTTTCTTTTTAATTCCATTTTTCCCTCATTTTTTCCCATCTTTACTCCATTTTTCTCTTTAATTCCATTTTTCCCTCACTTTTCCCCATCTTTACTCCGTTTTTCTCTTTTTACTTCCATTTTTCCCTCATTTTTCCCCATCTTTACTCCATTTTTCTCTTTTTAATTCCATTTTCCCTCACTTTTCCCATCTTTACTCCATTTTTCTCTTTTTAATTCCATTTTCCCTCACTTTTCCCATCTTTACTCTGTTTTTCTCTTTTTACTTCCATTTTTCCCTCTTTTTTTTCCCCATCTTTACTCCATTTTTCTTTTTCATTACATTTTCCCTCATTTTTTCCCATCTTTATTCCATTTTTTCCTATTTAATCCCATTCTTCCCTATTTTTTCTCATTTTTACTCCACTTTCTCCTTATTTTTCTCTCAGTTCCATTTTCCCTCAATTTTTCTCACCTTCATTCCATTTTACCCCATTTTTCTCTCATATTCCATTTTTGCTCTTTTTTTCTCATTTTTATCCTATTTTCCCTTGATTTTTTTCTCAGCTTTATTCCATTTCCCCCCATTTTCTTCCATCTTTATGCATTTTCCCTCATTTTTTTCTCATCTTTACTCCGTTTTTTCTTTTCAATTCCATTTTCCCTCATTTTTCTCTCTTGATTCCATTTCCCTCATTTTTTCCCTCATTTTTATTCCATTTCTCCTTCATTGTTCTGTTATGTTCCCTTTTTTCTCATTTTCATTCCGTTTTCCTCATTCTTTTTCGCACCTTTATTCCATTTTCCCATTTCCTTTCCTTTTTTATTCCGTTTTTCCCTAATTCTTCTCTCATGTTTTCTTTCTCCTCGTTCTTCTCATCTTTACTCTGTATTTTCTGATCCCATTTTTCCTTTTCTCACCTTTATCCCATTTTTCCTCACCTTTATTCACTGTTCCCACTTTTTTCTCCTTATTCCATTTTTCTCATTCATATTTTTCGTTTTTCTCACCCAATTTCCTCCCATTTTCCCCTC